AAAACCACTATAGTCTAATAGCAAAATGCTCATAACATCTTTTTAATGAATTAAGGAGCTTACATGATCAGGAAGTGCCTTATGTTGTGCTTTCAAAATAGTTTCAGCAAATCGACTCTTCAGCATTGCAGCACGAAGAGCCTTTTTCGGTGAAAGTTGTACATCAAAAATTGGGGTAGAGAACGCTGCAACAAGTTAGAAGAGACAAAGTTAGTATGATATACATGATAAAGAAAAAGACAGGTCTATCTACAGTACTAACAGAAAAAACAACCTTCGGAAGTAGCATTTGCCCCAAGGGTCAAAGGCTGATCACAAGGAGGTTTTCCTTCATCCTCCAGAACACTTCTAATCCCTTCACATCATTCCCAGTAGTATGAGCATTCTCAGATGAGAAGGATATCACTACAATAAAGTTTTCGCAACAAATATGTATGTGAACTGACCATCAGAGTCTGTATCCGACTTGGACATCTGGGAAGCTGACAAGCTCCTTGTTTGAGAGTCCTAGATTAATATTTAAATTACATAAGTGAAAACAAAATTTGTGAATGTTTCATGACAACTCTGCAATCGTATCATACCAGTCTGCAAGGATCATTGACATCTGGATTTTCTCCTGACAATAATCTCTAATTAGATTGATCTAAATTAAGCAGAAATTAATTTTTTAGACAATTACCAGAATGAACACATGAAAGTAATAGAACAGTCAACTAACCACCAGAGGGTGCATGGCCTAAATTGGAAGAAGAGCCGCACAGAAATGGCGTGCTTCCACATCCTGTACACTTATGACTTGGTGTTTGTTTCTCAAAGGAGCTAGAAGCATGTTTATTGCCAGTTTCTGTAACTATCAGATACATGACTAATTAGCTCCTTCACAGGGCCATATAGCAGAACCGTAATCTTCCACTTCATACCTGTATGGAAGTTCTTCCTGGAAGGCTTGGGTGCACAAGTTGGAAGTGTTCTAGCACGATCAACCTGTACATGTTAATGAGAAAACGTAATCCATCATGCAAGATAAGAATGCTGCCTAATAACTGTGGATGTTATATAATCAAGCAAACCAAATGAGAAAATATTCATTACACAGATTCTAGTGTATCGTCAACAATACAACTTGAAAATAAACTTTCGGTACGTAAACAAAATGCATGAATGTTACTTGCCTCAGCACCATTTGCATTTGAAGACGGCTTGCTGACTTTCTCTTCAGATCCTGTTGACTTCTTCTTCAATAAAGTATTGTGAGATGATGGAGTTCGGGAAACCTTTTCTCCTGTTGGTCCACTTGAAAGTTTTTCTCGCTGAAAATCTGATTTTCCACCAAACCATTTTTCCTTTGGCAGTTTCCATTTCTTCTCAAAAACTTCGTGAAGTTCCTTTGCTATCTTATGAACATGGTTACCAGGAGGATTGTAAAGCATGGCATTAGAAAATGTCAGTCTAATATCAGCTGCAAATTCTTCACTTGCCCGATACATATTTCTCTCTAGTTTGGATTTGACAGTTCCCAAATCCATAGGATCAGTGATGATTGAGAAGTAATCAGGAATTTGCAATGCCACGGGATCCACGGGCTGGTTGAAAACCCAACCGAATGGATGGGACATAAGTGATTTTAAAATTGAAGAGCATTGTTGTGTTGTACTACGATCCAACTTCTGCTTCTTCTCTCTAGGAGATTCTATATCCTCAGTTGCTCTGCGCTTATCAGTGATAGTGATGGAAGATTTTGACTTGGAACAAGCAGCAGCAAAGGTCTTACCATTACAGAGAGCATTTAACGAATAGTTGAATGTGTCATCCACTTTCAACCCATTTGTGCCCTTAAATGACAATTTCTGGCCTACAAGCTTCCCAAAATCACAGGACTGTGAACCCGGATGATCTTCAACTCGTTTACCAGCAAATTTAATTTTCAGCTTTTTGCTTGATACAATGGTTTCAGTGGCAATCATTTTGACCCAAAGAAATGGCAAGAAATCCAATACCCGAAGAGAGCTAGATAATTAATCTTTTTAAAAGCAAACAAGACCACCAAAAAAGTGGCATCCCTCAAGCAGATGAGGAATGATGTAAGAACCACTCATCTCGAAATTAAACCTCCAGAGAGCCTGAATAGAAAATAAAATTCAGTCTTAAAAGAGACACGAAACCTACTAAATGACTAACCAAAAAACAACGTGATATTATAGTATCTCATAAACCCACCAACATGGGACAAAACGAAAGGGCCGCCATAACGTATCAACAAATAATAATAGAACGTGTCGGCGTAAAAAACCACGTTCTAGAAAATCTATAACGTTCGGTGGAAACATAAGCACTTACACAAAGAGATAAGAAATTTCGTGCTTAACAAAAAAGAGTATCTACTGTGAATGGAATGGGCTGAAAGTATCCACTTCAAGAAAAAGTCGGAATCCACAGAGGTTTCTCGGAGAACCCGTCAACAAGAAAGTTGAAAAATCTCGAAGTGAAAATAACAAGAGATAAAACATCAAAAAGAATCATACAGATTCAAGCAAAAGTTATTAGGGTATTAATCAAACATCGGTTTTACGACACCTCAATATCAAACGAAATAGGCAAAATCAAACGAAGAACAGACGAAATCTACAAGTTTAGGTCAAATCGAGTCGAGTGAAATCAATACATAACGAGTTCGAGAAGACAGCATCAAAATCTAGAGCACCTCGAATCTCAGTGAACCCCCAGCCCACCCTCAACGGCGGAGCAGACAATAATAAGTAGAAAGAAAGAAAGAACTTACACAGATCGACTGGAGAGCTTCGGAAGCCTAGAGATAGAACAGATGAACGACGTGAAACGGAGACTTGGAATAATTCGAAGAGAGAGGGCGAAGAGCCCCCTCGAAGAAAACAACCGCGCAAACGAAGGAGAAGGAAGGCGATAAGTCTAGGGTTTATGGGAAGACTATCCCTCCATTCCCATTGACCTGTCTTAACAGATGCCGGGTTTTCACTCCAATTATTTGCATCGGTCTTATATATATATATAAAAATAAATAAATAAATATTTAATATTTTATTTACATGAGTTAATTAGGTGCATGCACATTTTACATTTTTAAACAAATTAAATTGTTCATTATTTGTTTTATTTTATATTAACGTTAATGAATTTTTTTGTCTTTTCCTGTTTTGCTTAAGTTAATTCTAAAGCACCCATTTGGTGTTAATTTAAAGTTTTATTAATAATAAGAAGGGATCAACACGTGAAATTAAATATGACAATATTTCCCGTCCACATTCCCTGAGAATGTTGGTCAAATACATGCCATCTTCTTGAGCAACCCAAACACAAGAGTCGTCGTTGCATCTATAAGCAAGGCAACGACGAGTCTCTAACCAAAACACGTCTATGGTCACATGTTTATTTGATGACGTTGAGAAGATATTCTCTTTGAATTCTCACGAGTATTGTTCATTCACTTGAAGTAAATGATTACTAAAATCATGTCTTTTCATTTGCAATGTGCAGATAAAGTTTGTCCAAGATTCTAATGCCTTATGCCTTATTTCTTTTCTTCTTCGGGTTCTTGTTCTCTTCCGTATATGGATCCAAATAATTTTATAATGTTTATAATATTTAGTAACTTAGTAAAAATGTAAATTTGTTCATAATAATTTGTGGGGTAGCATTTACTTTATAATAAGAAAATGGTTACATCCATAATTAGTAAAGGAATTGAATTTTGCATTACTGCTATTTCTTCGTATTTATGCCATTTTTTTAGCGCTTTATAGTAATTAACAAATAACTTGTGTTTCATGCCTACAAAAACTTATGTTTTAATAATAAATAAATATATATATTTATCATTATTAAAAAAAAACAAAACAAAACAAAAGACGTTATAAAATCAATTATGGAATTATTAGAACATTTTGTGTAATTAATGTTGTCACAGTGAAGTTTGTATAATTTATTTAAATTTGGAACTCAAATGGACGAAATTAGAAATTAAAAGTTCAAATTTATTGATTCAATACGTTAATTGTCCTGCTAAAAATTAAACTATATATTTTTTAATATAAATATATTTTAAAAGCATATTAAAAAATATATATATTACTATAAATATCTTTTGGCTATAATATGATATTTAAATTTATAAAAACTATTAAAATTTAAATTTTTAGAAATTAGGTAAGTAGAATTTGGTGAATATATTGATTTATTAATATATATATATTATAAAGAGTGTATTGAAAAATGAAAAACTTAAAAATAATTATATTTATAAATAATAATAAACATAAAAAAGAAATTATTTTTGGTTAACTCTAACTTGATAAATTTTAGTGGAGAATCCCACTCGTAAATAGAGAATCTTATTGGGATAGAGAATGAAATAGGTAACGTGGAATCTTTTCCAATTCTTGTGGACATCTCTATGTATGCCTTCTTAAAAGAGAAATATTATAATCTCTAGAGTCAATGGAATCCGTCACCATGATCTAAGCGACATCATTAATTTTAATGTGACACTTTTCAAACAACTTTTTTACACATATAGTGAAGGATGGGTCGATTTCTACACGTGACTTTGTTGTCTGATAATATTGATATTTTTATTGACACATTTCTTTTCTTAAGCAAATAAACAAAGGTTTGGAATTAAAACATTAGGTTATTTAATATTTTCTTGTCAAATTATATGTATGGTTTCAATCATGTCCTAACCAACATTAATAATCACATATTTCTTACTTTACTAAAATTTTAAATCAGTTATGGTTTAAAGAAAGAACATTATTTGTGTTTAAGAACACTGCCAAACATAAATTAAACAATACTCAGAACCTCCACCCAATCTGTGAACATGCATTCCTTCATGCTTCCCATGAAAATTTTACACGACCCCCGTAGTAAAAATAAGAACACGATGAATTATTCTAAAGAAAAATGGGTTCCCTTTTTTTGATTAATCTTCTTTACAAATATTGATTTGGAGTATTTAGGGGTCAAGTTTCCAGGAATCCGGTCATTCTGAGAATAGAATTTCGAACTTGGCTTAAATCTCTTCCTTTGAGCGTCCTACCGTTGCCAGTGCAGAGGGAGAAAGCCATTTTTCCGGCTACGCGACGACCGATGATGACGTGCGGGGGTACGATGTCGTCGTCAATGTCCCAATCCTCGTCCACCTCCTCCATGTCGGAGGAATTGTAACGGTAAACGGTTTCTGGGATTTTGACGGGGAGAGAGGCGGCGGAATCTTTGCTGTTGCTGTTGGCGTCGTTTCTGGAGCTCCGATGAGTTGTGATGAGGATTTGGGTGTGGGCGTAGTCGAGGGAGGGGTGGAACAGGTGGCGGTGGTCGGCGATTATGACGTCGGAGTCGTGGAATTCTTCGGCCATAGGGACAGAAATCGTTGAACGGGAGAGAGCGGGGGGAAAGGGAAAGGAAGAATGGGCTTTATAGGAAAAAGAAAAGGAGATGGGAGAGTTTGGATGTAAATGTGTTTGTGAAATGGCGTCACTCAAAAGGCAAAGCTTACGATTTTTTTGTCTTTATTAATATCTCTCTCAACATTATAGGCATTAAGATATTTGATATTTGTTGTTAAAATGGCTCACTCATTGAACTAATGTGTCACTTTTGTTGGTTCAAGGGTGCATTTTACTAGGCGTTTAACTAGGGAGAAGGCAAGTTAAGTCGCGATATTGGATCATAATGGGTTGTTTTCTTTAAGTTTTTCCTTTTAGGCTTTACCTCACGGTTTTAAAACACTTCCCCAACCCTCCAACCCTGTTTTAGGCTTATAAAGAGAATAATGAATGTTTTGTTCTCCTCTCTAAGTGAAATTTCACAATTTACAGTGTGTCTCACAAACACTTCCCCAACCCTCCAACCCTGTTTTAGGCTTATAAAGAGAATAATGAATGCTGATGACGGGCCCACAAATTATATGTTATTAATAATTATAATTTTAAAGAATAAGCTTTACCCTGTCCCGAAGCAGAACAAATGGTTCCGAATACGACAAGCCACTCATTATCCAACACGTCACCCCATCCCTCGCTTAAAGGACTAATCCTTTCCCAATCATTTTCCTTTTTAAATACTAATTCCCTTTTCCAAATATAATATTAGTTTTTATTATATTATTGGTTTAATTTAAATTTTTAATAGTAACTTAGTGTTCGATAATTTATTTTCAAATTTTATAACTCTAAAAAGTTTAAATTATATTAAAATGGTTAAATAATAAATTTTGTCGTTGAATGCCAAAACCTTGTGTTTATCGCTTTAATTAGGTATAGTTTCCTGATTCTATTTTCTGAGTGTGATATTTGGTAGAATCGTGAAAATTATCTCAAAATAAACTATAAGTAGATGTGAGTAGTGGTCAATTTTTCTTACCGTGAGTTAATATAGTTTTATCTAACCACGTGAACATATAAGAACATTGATTACCTGAACATGAATATAAGTTGAGGTCATGGGGTGGGAAGGCACGTGAAGGAAGGGTTAATCGAGTTCATTTTGAGGCTGTAGAGGTAGTCATCGAGATAGTCGATGTAATTGGAGTCGTAGACAAGGCCGGGATCCACCCCCTTGGAGGGGCGGAGGTGGCTAAAGGAGTGAATTGAAATATAGAATTGAAACATTTTGACATGGCGATATGTTGGTGTCGACATGTCGGTGAAATGGGAATGGTGTAGATCGTCAAAGGTTGGCAATTGATTGGGGAAGTTAATAGGCATGGACTCCAACTCCCAAGCATTCAATTTCCTCACCCACTTTGCCTTTATCCACATTTATTCGCTTCGCCACGTCCAAATTCACAATCATATTTGATTGTCAAAAGCTTTAAATGATCAAGACAAGCAGCCACCGGCACCGACAGACGCCTCTCATCTTACTTGATATCAAAACTATGCCTTTTTCTGTACATTTCCACCCAAACCCAACTGGCCCAGTTGCCCAAATGCTTCATATAAACTAAAGATTTTGACTTCGCACTCTAATTAAATGCCCAACTCTTAGTCTTCGTTTCCTCAACTGTAAAACCCATTCCTAATTGGAGTTGAACACCCCCTTCTATTTAAACACTATTCTGCACCTTTTCAACCTCACTTCCACTTCAACCTTCCCAAACAATCAAGCTTTCCTGTCTTGTTTGTGTAAGAATGGCCATGGGCGGTAAGGTTGTAAGGAATCAGCTATGGGGTCTTCTTGTTGCGGTGCTTGCATTCTGGTGCTGCACCGCCCAGCAACAACCCCAAGTTCCTTGCTACTTCATTTTTGGTGACTCTTTGGTTGATAACGGCAACAACAATCGCCTTTCTTCTCTGGCTCGCGCCAATTACCTCCCTTATGGCATCGACTTTCCCCAAGGCACTACTGGAAGATTCTCCAATGGCAAAACCACCGTCGATGTCATTGGTAAACATTCACCGCTTCCTTTCCAACAACGAGTCTCTGTAGTCAAGAAATGTGTATAATTTTGTTGTTTTTTCATGGCTTGTAGCGGAGTTATTGGGATTCAATACCTACATCCCTCCCTATTCCAACACCAGAGGCCGAGACATACTTAGAGGAGTGAACTACGCGTCTGCAGCGGCTGGAATCAGAGAGGAAACTGGCCAGCAGTTGGTAATTTTCTTTATTATTACACACCCACTTCATGTATCTTTGTTGTTAGAAGTTTGACATGGGCGGTGTTGTTCTTGCAGGGAGCTCGGATAAGCTTCAGTGGGCAAGTGAGAAATCACCAAAACACTGTTAGACAGATAGTCAGCATTCTTGGTGATCAAAATGCGGCTGCTGATTACTTGAAGAAGTGTATATATTCTGTTGGATTGGGTAGCAATGATTATCTTAACAACTATTTCATGCCTCAAATCTACTCGTCGAGTCGTCAATATACGCCCGATCAATACGCTCAAATCCTCATTCAACAGTATACTCAACAATTATCGGTTAGTAGTTTTCTACATCGCTTTCTTTAAGTCAATGTGAGACTTTAATCGCATTCTTATATCGTGAAAGGTAATTATGTTTAGATAATGTACAACAATGGGGCAAGGAAGTTTGTGCTATTTGGAGTTGGCCAAATTGGGTGCAGTCCAAATGCACTGGCGAATAGCCCTGATGGGAGAACCTGTAACCAAAGGTACAACTTTGCGAATCAGTTGTTCAACAACAGGCTGAAAGGGCTTGTGGATCAACTCAATAGAGACCAGGCTGATGCAAGATTCATCTACATTGACTCTTATGGGATTTTCCAAGATATCATAAACAGCCCTTCATCTTTTGGTATCATTCAACTCTCTCTTCCTTCCCAGTTTGTTTTCTCATTATTATTGTGTCCCTGAGGATTCAATTGTTGGGTGGTGCAGGGTTTAGTGTTACAAATGCTGGGTGCTGTGGGATTGGGAGGAACAATGGCCAAATAACATGTTTGCCTTTCCAAACCCCATGTCCTAACAGAAAAGATCATCTATTTTGGGATGCCTTTCATCCAACTGAGGCTGGCAACACCATTGTTGGAAGAAGAGCTTACAGCGCTCAACGTCCCTCCGACGCCTACCCAATCGACATTCGTCGCCTTGCTCAACTCTAGTTTAAATCCAACTGATCGGACTTGTTGAGTTTATGCATAAGTTGTTGGAAGAGTTCCAATGTCCCTTTAATTGTTTACGTTTTGGTGGTGTGTGCCATTCTTCTCAAGAACATGGCATGCTTGCTCTCAATTTATGGCTCGTGTTTGTGTTAGACGTTTGAGATTTAACTAAATATCTCATGATGTACCCTAAAGCAAATCAATCAAATCAATCAAGGAAAACCAAATATGTTAGAAACGATCAGTTGAGCTGGACCTTGTCCAAACAATGGGTTGTATTTATTACCATTTTTATATAGTTCTTAACAAACAGTAAGGAATTAAAAAGGACGATGAGCCTCGAAAGGAATGGACACCAGACTGTGTGCCCGGGTCATGAAAGGGGGTGGATTGGGGGGTTTTCCACATTGATTGGAGTGGGGGAACGAGTGCCAATGAGGACGCTGGATCTCGAAAGGAGTGGATTGTGATCCCATATTGGTTGGAAAGGGAAACATAAGCATTCTTTATAAGGATTTGGAAACCTTTTCCTAATCGACGCATTTTAAAAGTTTGAAATGAAGCCCGAAAGCAAAAACGAAAAATTTCCCTCTTATAATCGACGCATTATAAGGATTTGCCTCTTATTTCCCTCTTGCACGCACTTAAGCTAAGTAATCAATTATAAAGTTTCAATCTTCTCAATAATCAGCCATTACATCATAATTAGAAACAAAATAAGGAATCACAGAAAGTTGAGACAGTGAAACAGAAAGCAAGACAGAAGTATGAGACAATATGTTAGTCGTTTGTATGACAGACATAGATTTTAACACAAAGATAAGATAGGTTATTAATGTTTTGGATGCATACCAGACAACAACATTACATACATACATTCATATATATTTATATATTGGAATATGTCTTTTTTTAGAGTCCAGAAGCTAAGACTTTGATAAGGCATAGATGAGGTATGATCTTCAAGTTCCTTTTAAGTACCTTTCAATCAGCAGAGATGGGGCGCTCCTTATAATCCACCAACCAGAGAGCTTCAAACCATACTATTATTAACTGCAGCGAAATGTTTGGTCGGTATTTTGTTAGATACAGAGCGAATGGCTTCATTTAACTGTAAAACAAGCAAGACAACACAAGAACCTTAAACTAATTGAAGAGCCATGTTGTCTTGGCGTGGATACTGGTGACTATGTTGTAAGCCGTTCACTTGGAAGAAGTCTCGGGGATCGTAGGGATGAGATTGCATCAGCTCGAATTCTCCTCCCATCATGTTGGCATTTCTTTCACTCTCAGCAATCTGCACACATTCCCATAGTTTGAATCTTAATTGCTCGTATCAGAGAGAGATAGAGAGATTGAAGAACGAGACCTTTGCTCGAAGCAGCTGATTGTTGTTGTGCAAATCAATTTCCTGCAAAGATCAAAGCTTTTCATTCAATTGAAGAACATAGAATCACTCCAGGGACTTCCCTTTACAGTTTCTAGAACAAAATTTTAAAGGATTGATTTTTTTTTCTATGATTTAGAGGAAAATCAATGAAACCCTGATTGAAAAATTAAAACTTTCAACCAACCCATTTGGAAAGTTGATTCTTTTGCTTGAAATTGATCATCAAGTTTGCTAGAAATTAGGTTGCATTGAAGATTTCAATAGATGATCATCCAAACATAGCTAACTTGGTGTTCTTTTGTTTATGAGTTTGATAAAAAGACTAAAAAACAAGGGCTTTCGAGCTGCTTTTCCTAAAGGATTAGTATCAAATTTGGATATGAAAGCTTACCCTTTTCCGCATATACTCAATTTCAGCAAAGAGGAGTTCATTCTGGGAGAGATAGAGCACAGAGAAATGTTAGCTACTTATTTTGAGACTAAGTTATTTGAGAAACAAGGAAGAAAAGCAACCTTTTTGGACCTAATCCTGCTGATTCCTTTCTCAAGTTTGCTCTCGAGGCTTTTCAGATCTTTTACACTCAAAGAACTTAGAGAGTCACCCAGCATGTTCCTGGAAACAACATTCTTCTGATGATGAAACTTTAAAATCTTGAATTAATGGAAATGTTCATAAATTTTCTTCAAAATACCTGTTTGAATTCTGCAAGTTACCAATCTGAACTCGAAGTTTGGCAGCTTCTTGTTGGTAAAACTGGGATATCATTCAATAGTGAGTTTTTTAATCTTGTATTACCATTTCCCTTCAACGTTCCTCTTTAAATTTAGTGAAATCGAAGTGTACCTGAGTATTAGCTTCAGAAGTAGATCCAGTGTTTGAGGAATCTGAGGATGCTTTCTTGTATCTATCAATGGTTGCCTTCACACTGTAATTAACCAAAATATAAACTAAATTAACGCCATAGCATGTTGACTAGGGCTCCTTAATTATACACGTTGATTAAAATAAAATTATGATAATTTTTTAGACGGCGAGAACTAAAAAACAACCAAACAAACAAAGCATTGCGACATGTTTTTGATCCACAAAAAGGAACATTTTTATGTGTCACATTAACCCAACTCGCTTAGTTAAATGAATCCTATACGAAACCCCACAAAAGGCAAAATGAATGATAGAAATCAGTTGAAAGAGTAAATGGCTCCCAATGATGTGACGGAATGTACAACAAAAAAGGTTCTCTCCCGCATTTAAATATCATTATTTTGAAGCATATATCCATGGTTTCCTTTACCGATGCACTGATACCTTAATTTCGTCGAGCTGGTGATTGGCTGTCTGAGACATGCTGGCACAGATCTCGCTTTATGATTGGCTTAATCCAATCGACGGACCAGAATTTGCCAACTGTCATTGATCTATTTACTCAATGGACAATCAACTTAATTCCACCCTCTTATCCAACCCGATACAGTGTAAAAACCAGATTTTTTTCCTTCCAAAACAAAAAAAAAAATGGCGGTAAAGCCTTTTGTCTCTAACACTGTGTACATCATAGCCGTCCGTTTCAATCAGTGGCTGTCCAAGCTGTGCCTTACTAAAGATAAATGCTCATGCCCTCCCATTGGCTTGGCTCTACCAGTTTCCCTAACCTAATCTCTCTCTCTCTCTCTCTCTCTTTCTCTCTCTAAAAATACCCTTCAAAGATTCAAACTTTGTGGTAAATTTAAGAAGCCCAGTTTAGTTTCTTCTTCCATGGGATGACCCTTTCTCTGCTCTGCTCTTCTGGTTTAGAGTTCAAGAGAGAGAAGAGGAGAGAGAGAGAGAGAGAGGGATGAACATGGTTTGAAAAGAAAATTGGTGGGAGGAGGGACATGAAATTGAATTGAATCTGAAACGGGAAGGAACCCGTTTTAGTAATTGTGACAGAAACCCTTTGTTTGTCAGGGAGGCTGAAAACTGAAAAATCTTGAGTGACGTGACCAAAGATTCTTGAAGCCCTACACCAAAAATCAGAACCCAAACCCTAAAACCAGACACCCCATTTCCCAAACAATGCAGACAAACCTAAGACTTGTGTAAAGTTTTTGACTTCCTATTGGCTCACTTTGTTTGTGGTAGAAAAAGCTACACCTTTTCCCCTCTCTCTCTCTGTTAATACATGTTTAATCTGGGGATTACCCAAATCCCAATGTATTTTAGGGTTTGAATGGAAACCAACAATTAGGCAGTTCAATCTTGAGTTGGAGGTGATTGGTTGGAAAAGGGCGTTTTAGCATGTTTCAAGGAAACCCACAAGTTTTGACAAACTTTGAAACCCTAATAAGCTTATTATTGTATATGGTGTTTTGACAAAGTTTTGAAACTGTACTTTCTCTTTCTTATTATCCAACCGACGTTTCTATTAAGGAAATGTCAAGGAGATGAAGGGGATTGGACTCATGAGATGACATATAGAGACAGAGAGAGAAACAGAAGCTTTAAACAATGGAGGAAGGGGTAAGGTAAGGTAATGCAAAGAGGTGTGTCCTGAGAGACCTCCATAAGTTTACCAAAACCCTCACTCCTTTCAATCTTTCCATCTCTTACACCAGATCTATGTATCCACCATACCAAGAACAAGCAAAGTGATACAATAATAGCAAAAACAATCCCACAACCTCATGCAACTATAAAAACAGCTCAAGGAACAAGAAATTTAGTAAAGTTAATGAATATATTCTCAACACAACCCAGATTCCCAAAATGAGTTACACAAAGGAAGATTTGAAGAAAACAATGTAAAAAGGTAGATTGTGTTTGTGTTTACCTGTTGTTAGCGTACTCATAGAGGCGGCCGCGGCTTGAGAAAACGATGAGAGCAACTTCGGCATCACAGAGAACAGAAAGTTCATAAGCTTTTTTAAGCAGCCCATTTCGTCTCTTACAGAAAGTGACTTGACGATTTGTTGTATTTTCGATCCTCTTAATCTCAATCTTTCCTCTTCCCATCTTCCTCTGAGGTGAGTCTGACATCCTCTCTTCTTATTTGCAGCTTACCTAAATCAATTCCAAACAGATCACTCATCAAAATCAAAACCCAAATCTCCATTTTCCCTACAGCTGTTGATTCCTTAAGAGATGGAATAAAAGAGGAGAAGATTTTCAGGCTCATTTGCATGGATTTACAGGTGAAGGAAGAAGCAAGAGAATCAGAAGCTGAATCTAAGCTTTATTTTGTTGGTTTAAGAGACAGAGATTTTGATCACTAACCTGATAAGGAAAAGAGCTGGTTGGAGAAGGAACTTTCAAACACAGAACAAAAAGAAATCTCCCCACACAGCCTTTGTATCCCTCAAAGATTAGGGGAGGAGGAGAAGAAGAAATGGAAGTAAGGAAGCGAAAGAGGTGTGTGTATTTATAAAGTAAAGAAAATGACCCTTTATCAGCTCTAGAAAGGATTATTTACCAAAGCCTTCTACTTCTAACTTAATCCACTTCAACCTTTTATCTCTAAACTTTCATTCTTGTGAGCTGTGACTGATAAGGTTTGGGCATAACAATGGCATCTCAAGAGCTCCTCCTAGAGAGAGAGAGAGAGAGAGAAAGAAAGAAAGAAAGGAAAAGGACTTGTGAAGTGATTATTAATGGGTTGACAGGGATGTTGGAATAAGTTGCATTATTGGGCTTGAGGTTAAAAAGCTTTACACAGATTAGAGAACAAAACGACCATAGCAAAGCCAAGGATAATGACTTATAGCTGTTATATGCAAAACATTCTTTATCTCCCATGATCTGCCAAACTAATACTCTCTCTATATTAATCATTCAAACCCAAATCCAGTTTTTGATATCTGGGGTTTCTGTGTGATATCAGAATCTGTTCATACATAAGAGAATGGATACTCATAATCAAGCTCCTTTAAACAGAGTGATAATGTTTTATGGAGTGTGGTTTGGTAAAGGTAATAATAGAAGGTATCCTGAGTCCCATCCCAGACATCAAATTTGTTGTATGAAGAGGGGCATACAGTTTCTGAAAGCTCCCATTTCTCCATATTTAAAACTCTATGCATTTTCATTTCGTATGGTCTGATTAATGATGGTTCGATATGTCAACCTACTTTTTTCAAACACCAAAGATTGTAATGACAAGTCGTTGGATTGATGACTACTCTTTGGTAGCGGTTTCCATATGATTAATTGTTCAAAAAACAAGTATGGATTCATGGGAGCACTTGATCTAAAGGTTTGCACACTCAAAATGATGCCCAATTCGCCAATCTGACACCAAAACCTTTCATGTGCCCAATTTGTGGCTCAACATTCATATGAACAACACCGTACTTTCTGGGAAAACTTGGGAACTCTTTCTTTTTTTTAAAACAAATTTCTTCTTTGAATCTCCGCTCAATTCGTTGCTCGGTCTAACGACATTGTAGCTCGTTTCAAGAAATGTTTTTTAATGTCAAAGTTCAGACAATGTTGCTACACAAAGCTTTTTTAAACACTTTCTAATTTTGAAATGTTTCTAATCGAGTCGATTTGAAACCAAAACTAAAACTAAAGCTACTTTTATAGTATTTAGAGCTCATCGGCTTTCTTGAACCTTTTTGACGTGAGATTACAACTTTTTTAATATTTGGTCAAAATTCTACATTGCTCATTCAAATTTTTAAAAACAATTATAGTTGAACCATCTAAATTTTAATCCATAAAAATACATTCCATTCCAAGTTCAAATCTATGATACCCAAAAGCTTTCCAAAAACAATAATATGGACAACTTAATTCATGATGATAATTCATCAACATTTTAATCAATTCCACAGACCAATGAATCATTATTATTAAGAAAACAAGAGCTATCACTAAACCCAATATTTTTTATGAGTAATAAATTAAAGTGAACAATATCTATCGGCGGTGGAATTGTGGAATTGAATTGAGTGGTGGTGGTTACCCTAAACAATTCTATTCAATTCTATTATTGCAAGATCATATTAAATTAACATTAAATCTAATACTTTAACTATAATGGACAAGGAAATAATGTTGATATCTACCCCCAACTACAAGGACCATTTGAGGAGATGGAAGCTTAATGCCAAATTACAAAGAGGGAGAGAATTCCTTTTTAATGAAACTTCCCCCATATGAAGGATCACCTCACAAATCCTCTAAGCCCAAGTTTCATTAGAACGCGTTTACTTCCACATCCATATAAGTAATGTTTCGTTATCCTCTTCAACAGATGTGAGATCTTACAGTCCACCCCCTTTGGAGAACCCAACGTCCTTGCTAGCACACCCCTCTGTGTCTGACTCTGATTCCATTTATAATAGCCCGGGGCCACCGCTAACAAATATTGTCCACTTTGGCCTGTTATGTATTGTCGTCAGTTTCTTATTTTAAAACGCGGCTACTAAACCTTTATAAGAAATGTTTCGTTTACTTCTCCCACCATTATGGAATCTCACAAATTTTCATTCGAAAGTCTATTAGAAGGTAAATGATAAAATTGCAACATTTGAAGTCGAATCGGATGAAATTGAAAGCAATTTGTGGGCACTTATCATAATTTTATTAAACAAAACACAGCTTCCATTGCTTACCAAAAACAGATTGAATTCATCCTACAGGCTTGATCATTTTGTTCAAACAATTGGGGATAGTGTCTGTCTAGTTCTCATACAAATTAAATTGGCAATTAGAAACAAGAACAATGAAAGGGCTGTGAGTTTTATATTCTCTTGAAATGGGACCACGAAAAGCAGTGCACATAATTTCTCAAAAGAGGGTTAGTGTGAGGGGCTTCAATGGCATCAGACCTAAACCCCATAAATGCCATATTGCCATACCCATGTATTTCAACCTTCCCTCTTCAATTCTTCTAATCTCTGCATTAAACATCTTAATTTCTTCAGCTAACTCAACTTAGCTTCTTCCTCTTATGTTTATATCTGGAAAAATCAATAAATAACATCATGCCCGAGCTGAACTCGTAAGGGGTCCTACGTACCCTACGCTTATAACGGGACGGATCACCATTTGAAGTGCTTTTCTTGCGTATTCTTAATAAAACCAGGACGTAGGTGGTCCATTCTTGCCACTAAAAATGGATGGATAGCTCAACATGTAGAGCCATAGGAGTTGTAATGAGTCTAGATTTGACTCTATCTATGTCTGTAGTCCATTACCTATCAATAGATCTCCAACAAAAAAAGGTTTTTTTTTTTTGCTAATAAACTTGACTCAAAGATATTAGTTGCTTCGATCTCGCTCCACTTTGAGCTGCCCCAATTTCCAAGCTTTGTGAATGAAGTATGAAACCAAGTATGGCAATTGACATTCATCTTATGAACTTGGGATTCTGTTCTTCCTCATTTTATGTGCAACTTCAATGAAACTCCATTAATAGAAATTGAGTGGGAGAAGGGGTAGAGAAGTGTAAAAACAAAGCAATAATTTAGACAGAGTAAGAGAGTAGGGGAAAATTGAACCAACTTGTAGAGGTGAAATGGCCTGAGTTGCTAAAGCTCTTCAGTTATTGCAGTTTTGGACAGAAGGCAACTCAGCTTTACTGACATACTTTTTTTCTGCAAAGCTTTTCCTTTCCACCATGCTGAGTTCTATACCTGAACATGTTGCAGATCTCCTTTGCAAAAGGAACATAAAATTGCTGTGTTTTTATACCTTAATGAGAATATGTTTCAAAGAAAGCATGCGGTGAACCTTTGATAATGGATTGCTTTAAAAGCATATATACACAGGCTGCTAAAGGCTTTAATGTAAATTAGCCAAGTAGCCCGTGATTATGGGTAACCTCTAAGTAAAAAAGAGATACGTGAATGAATTAAGACTACATCTGTAACAGAGAGCACTCGAGATATGCAAATATGGTTGAGAATGACTTAAAACACTTGATAGTAAGAGATGTACCTTTCTGTTTTGCTTTAAGAACCTTACGCGAGGACCTCTTGAAAAAAATTCTAGGTAGCATATGAGTGAGGACAATACATGTGGAAAGAATTTGTTATTGAGATTGTCTTTCCTTTTGCAAGCCGTTTAAGGACGCAAGTGAATGTCGAGGCTATCGATTGAATCTTAGGGTTTGGGACGAACCATAGAAAACTCTGACCAATTTTTAGAAAAATTTGACAAAGAGAATGATTGTGTTCACAATGTTGAATATTCGTCTGGAAAGTGCGATCAATATTTTCTTGTCTCTCATAGTGTGTTTCAGTCTGTTTGATGAGATTTGAGCTGTCTCTCTTTAACGGTGTCTTCTTGAAGGTGGCCAAAAATAGGTTCAATTAAAAGAAAGCAATAACATGATATTACTAGAAGTTGCTTTCTTTACAATTCTAATTTTCCAGGCGGAGTTCAGGCAATTCTTCACATTCACACATGATGGTGACCAAACAGCGGCATCAAAATGGAAACAAATCATGTAGTACGAATTTCTCAAGGCCGTGTGATGAACAAACTAACCAGAAGATCTGATTTCCCATGTGGATTTGATACTGTTGATAGCCACGGAAATGGAGATTTTAAGGAATGGATGTTCTTAAGATACAGCAACCAGTGTTTTCAATCTGATAGAATTGGGGGTTCTTTTCCAATTTGCCAAAACGAGCTATTAACAATCAACTCTCCAACTTCAAATTCAATCCCCAAGTATCTCTGGTTGGAAGATTTGCAGCCAAAAAATAGTTGCCTCTCATGTCAGCAAGTTGGTTCCTTTTACCAACAGGATCAAATTTGAAACTGAAACTTACAAGTTGGTACTTTCCTGCCACTTCTGTCTATAGCTGTTTGTCGAACGCTTTCCAAGTTGGTAGCTGATATACTTGGTGCTGGTATCTCCTGAATCTGCACATAAACGGGTAAACAGTCAACGAAATGGAATTCCTTTGTTGTTCAACCATCACAATATTAAGGTCCAAACTTGGAATTTGCCGATCCACACATTGCCTGAAAATAAGAGATTTTAGAAGAAGGGTGCGATCTTCTTTTTATCAACAAACTTAAAAACAAGCCCAAGAGAAGGATGTCCCAGAGAAACTAGAATTGTAAATCAAATGTGAAAGATAGTTAAAAACAAGCCCAAAGAGGGCCTCCAATCCGACAAAATCAAAGGTGTAGGATGGTTAAAGGTATTTCATTCAACCAACCACGATCTTGCATTTCAAAGTAACATTGAAGATTTGGGTCTAACAATCCTGAATTTATAACAGATACAAAGGCGGTATTTAATCAACAATGGTGCAGGTGTTTCTCATCCCAAACTCTCACGAATTCTAAAATCAATGACAATTGTAGAATTATGAGTGTCAGAAAGTTAGTTCTGTGAAACACGTTTCATCACACGAAGCTGGGAAGGTAAACACAGTATTGGACCAAAATCTGACAAATCATATACTGCTGGCAGAAGAATGTGTTGATAGATTCAAACTGCTTTGACGGGAACGATCTTTCTTCAACATCGCCTCAATATTCTGGAAGAATTTCAATGGCCTGACCTGTATGTATGTTGAAGCCAAAAATAAACTTCCTTAAAATTCATATTTATTCCAATAAATCTTTAATCAGAAAATCAACAAAAATATAGAGCCACGTGAACAAGTATATGGCTTATCTTTCTAGTGGATGTCTGCATCTTCAAAAAGATTATGCACTAAAACAAGTCTAGGGGTAGGGAGACAAGAAAAAGCAGAGGCCATGAACTACCTTCCAGCGCCTCTTATGACCGAATCTATTGTAAATGAATTCCAGCTGGGTTATTATCTGCCTAAAAGTAGGTCTTTTAGTTGGCTTCTCATTCCAGCATTCTTCAATTAGCCTGCAAACAAATTATTTTCACTTCGACAAAATGAATATATGAATTACAGGAGAATTGATTTGGCTCTGATGCCAACTTGGAAGTGAGAAGAATCGTGGAATATTTCTGAGTGCATGATAGCTATGAGAACCAGCTAGCTTCACGACGTAAATATTTTCTTCTTTTTTAAACAAATGAGACTAGAGATGATGAAAATTCAGGAGAGACTAAAAAACATAATCGATAAGAAAGAACCACATTTACAAATATGATACACACTAAAAACCCAAGAGCTTTTCAACCCCTGATTTTAAAATTTTAAAACAAAATAAGAAACAAACTAGAAATTTACCATTGCTCATAATAAATTTAAATCAATTAGCTTGGGTAGATAGAACTCACTCTTTTAGTCCATTTGCATAACGTTTAGGTGGTGCTTTAAATGGTGGACGTTCACCTGCTGCATACAATTTAGGAACTTCACTATCTCGCTTGTCGGGAAATGGAGGACAGCCTTCAATCATCTGGATTATAGCAAATCACTAATATCAGAATTCAAACTGTCGATCAGAAAGCTTAGATTGGAAACTGTCTATGCTTCAAACGATTTATATGCTCAAGCATATTCCCCTTAAATCTTTCATGGTCATAATGTCATAAAAGGATTGAAGAAAAAATTGTTTATCAAATAAGCATCTAATTGCTCATTGCATACGACACATCGGTTCCACGAAACCAACCATCATGAGGTCAGTGTGGAAATGCTATGTAGTTTATAAACAAGAAAGACTTTACTCATTTCAACAGTTTTCTAAATCATTCAATGCTCCTGCGTCAACAAAGAGCCACCATTCTCTAAATTCAAAGACAAACAGGAGCAACCACAATATGAAGAATCTTAGAAAAAAGATTTGCCTGATAATACATAGAATAAAACAAATTGAAGACAGGTATGTATACCTCTTGTAAAATCAAAGCAAATGAAAATACGTCCACCTTTGTGTCATATTCTTCATTTTTGAAAACCTCCGGAGCTTCATATCTCCCTATAAATGGGGGGAAAATAATAATATTAGATAAAATGAAAACTAAACCTGAGTTTTCAGCAATCAATATCATGTGTTATTTGACTTGATGACGATTAAGGGCTGATGCAACAGTGCAGAATGGGAAGAGTTATTGAATCAATGAACCATATATTCTATTTCAAAAGAGTACTAAAATTACTGTTTTCTTGGGTATGAACCATTGTAAAAAGTTTGTAGATCAGAATTCAAGACAGAGGAGACTCACGTGAAGTCTCTGAACAGGTCAAAGGTTTATCTTCTTTAACCGTCAATAACTTGCTAACTCCAAAGTCCGCTACTTTCAGGTGGCCAGAATCATCCCTCAGAATATTTCTGAAATCTTGATCAAAGCAATATTATAAAAACTGTCATCGGATTCAGAAATTTGGTGAAAAATTTATATTCTTAAGTGTTCAACAAAGAATGCTACGTGTACTCAGCACTTGTGAGAGTTAAAAACAAAAAACAAAAATCCCAAGTATAAATGAGTTATTGTACAGGAATGCTTACGAAGGCTCAAGATCACGATGGATAATTGGTGCTGGCTTGTTCTCATGCAAATAATTCATCCCCCTGAATATTTTGCCAAGACAGGTGGAAAAGTGAATTTAAAGAAAAGATGACGATACAGGGAACACGTATTCTCAACAGAACTGCAAGAAAGTTAACCGTTGGAATTGTGGAATGTATCGATATTGAAAATCATTCACCAATCACAATTAACCAGAACTTTACAGATTAACTATAAGATCTTTCTTTTCCATAACATAATTTACAGCTTGGTTTCCAATGATTTATTATAAGTAGAAAAAGTCCTCAACAGCTCACTCAATTCTATAATTGTTATATTTCTGAGGATCCTTCATATCACTTCAAAACTCTACATACGATTTCCTTCAAAAGGATATGAAGCCTAAAAAAAACTAAAACCCATCCTATTGCAATATGACATCCTACTCTATTCCTAATAACAGTAACTGCATTCTAGATCATAATTATGTATTAGCAGCTCAAATTAAGCTTAAAAAGAATAATAGTTCGGATCAACTCGTTCAGTTGAGAGATAGACCTTGCAATATGAAGGGCAAGTCTCAAAACGGTCATAGTTTTTAGTGTTCCTTTTCTGCCCAATAATGCTGCAAGATCTCCCTGTATCAAAAACAGAAGAAAACAAAATTCAATCAAGGTTCCAACTGAAATAAAACCAAGCTTTAGATTAAAGTATGTCTCTCTATTTTGCAACATTATGTGATTGGAAAAACCTTTGGCAAATATTCTGTAACTATCATCATCGGCCAACTTTGAGTAACAGCACCCAGAAACTGAACAACATTGGGGTGTCGTATTTTCTGAAGCAATGCAAGCTCGTCTCTGAAAGCCCTCCTGAATAAAAACAAGAGGTTCAAGTGCCATACGGACTATAAGATGCAAAGACTAAGGAGTAGATCGAAGAACCCACACTTTATCCTCATCAGTGAATAGATCTTCTCCAAGCTCTTTCACAGCAACCTCAGTTCCACGCCAAGATGCTTTGCGAAATGTTCCCTAGTAGTGTTTCCAATGTGAAGAATCCTTAGACGACTAGGAGTTTGAAGGCAAAAAATGGAAATAATAGAACCTAGTTATTGTAACAGTCAAAGATAACTCAAAGTCTCAAGCAACTGTAACGAACAAATTACAAAAAACGAATTAGGCAAATCAAACATGTAAACACGCACTTCAACACAATTTTACCTTGGTATTGTTCACACTGTTAGTAAAATCAAGCTCCTTAGGATCAATTTCATAATCTGGCACTTCACCGGCATTCTTGACGAGCATGGGAGCCACCTGTATCAAACAATGCCTCTCCCATGAATCAGAATCCACCGAAGTGTAAATGCAGAGTTATGAAATTACGATCATACCGGAGGCTTTGCACCATGCTTTTCCAGAAGTTTGATCACATCGTGGTTCTTGTAATGCACGGCATCCCTAAGAGGCTGTTAAGCAGACACTAGACAATTTAAGATTGTACGTATATTACACAAATATTTTCAAAATTTCACGATGTATTGTATCAGAGAAGGAAGAATGCAACATAATCACGTAACAGAGATCGTCTTATATCATCTTCCCTCATACCCCAACTTTCCCAACAACGGATTTTACACAGTCCATTACGATTAGAATGTTGTATGAACTCCGATCCAAACGGCATAATGGGCCGAATTTGGGAGTGGAATTGGAGATGGGCTGGAGTGAAAACTACTCTTTCTTTCAGTCTTTTACACATTGCTAAATTTAGAGTAGGAGAGAGAGAAGAGGAAAATTTTAAAGATATTAGTAATGGAAAATAAGGAGAGAGCAATGTGATCATTACCGTGCTCCCCCAGCGATCTTTGGAGTCAACTTCAGCGCCACGTTCGAGCAACAAAGCGACGACGTCGGCGAATCCCTGGCAAGCAGCAATATGCAGAGCCGTCCGGTTATCGATATCATGGAAATTGACATCGACTCCCGAATCCAACAGTTCATTAATCCCTTCCAAATCACCTTCATTGGCCAAATACATCAACCTCACCCTCGAATCTATCCCCTCCTCAGTTTGGTGCTGCTTGACCAGCTCCTCCAAATCTTCGAGATGCCCATCCGGCGCCAGGGACGACTGCTTCCCCAACTTAAACCTCACCGGACTCTTCATTGCCTCAAATATCAGAGGGAATATAAAAATCAAACCCAGAAGAATGAAATACAAGTATCTGTCTAAATCGGAGGAATGTAGATTGGATTTGAAAGAGGAGGAGGAGCTTAAACCCTGCTATATAAAAAATCCAACACCCCAGTTGGATTGCTGGATCTGGAAAAGCTTCAAAGGGAATTTTGGAAGCCGATCCGGAAGGCAATTTGCTTATTTTTTCTTTTCGAGAGAGAGGGACGGGACAACAATTAATGAAAAAAGGTAGGAAGATTTTAGGGACAGTGGACTGGGAAGGTGGGCCTGGGGATGATGATGACAACGAGGGACGACAAGCAGTTCCCGCGTGGATAGAAAGAATGTCGCCGTGGAGTAGGGCTCGTTATTTGAGCTATGGCGATTGATTGGAGTAAAACTTCGGCAATTGAACCTGGCTCGAGGTTTTCAATAGATCTGCACACACCACCACAAAAAAAAAAAAAAAAAAAAAAAAAAAAAAAAAAAAAAAAAAAAAAAAAAAAAAAAAAAAAAAAAAAAAAAAAAAAAAAAAAAAATCCACTTGCGCAAGTTGAACTAAAAAAAGATCGAAATTTTACATTACAAGTTTAGGCAACTTTCAAAATCAATTCATCAATTTATTGATAACAAAGTCAAAATTTAAATTTGTCTATAATTTATATTAGATAATAAACTAATTCTCTTTTACAAGAATAAAATAGTAATGCCTTCAGCTGACATTTATTTTTTTTACCAGTTAACAAGTACAGAGGAGTACAGACATTGTCCAAAAGAACAGTGTTCATGGGGTATAGATATAAACAGAAGCTTATTAACTTGAAGGAAGATCCTGTTCTGCAATTTTCTCCCAGGACTTCAGAGTTTCATCTCCAGTGTCTGTTTTGTATAGTGCAAGACGAGTGACGGGGAAGCTCAGGCCGTTAATGGCTTCGTCGAGCTTCTCTGCTAGTTCTTTTGCCTGCTTCTTTTGTTCATCTGATATGTTGGCATACAGTAGGCTCAAATGCGGCATGTAAGCTGATACAGACACGACATTCATATTATTAGTTGAGATTCGAGAAGCATCCTCAATATCTTGTACCGAAACGAGCATAGTTCTTTGATTCATTGCTTAGACATCTTGAATTTGACAACAGGCTTGCATTTACTTTCATATGGCTAATCCGTTTCTGTTTTCATTTGATTGTAAAGAAGAAATTTAGCTCAACTACTTGGACTGCTTAAGAGACAATTTTGCAGATAATTGGCATCAGTAGCACCAACAAGATGGATAATACGAACAAGTTTATCAAAACTTCTTTTCTAAGGCCTAGCTTGACCCATTAATTCACCAAATCCTAGTAGTTTTCCAATACCAAATACGTAAAATCCGAATGTTCATCCTGTAATCTTAGTCTAGAAATACATACGCTGACCCAGAGATATCAAAGTCTACTGTATGTTCATAACAATCTGAGGGAAGGGAAAAGCAGAGCTAAATTTACCATTTTGAATGTGATGCATGATTCAATTTAACAATCAACAACCTATGGATAAGATATCTTTTGGAAAAAAGGAGGAAAAAACAAGAAATAATCGCAAGAGAACTGGATCTTACGGGTAGAGTTCTTGTAACCAAAATGTCCACAGCAATGTGAACTAGTCTCCACCACCTGAGAAGAAGAAAAGGGGGAGTGTGAGAACGATCAAACAGAGAAAAGGAGGTAAAATAAAGAACAGAGGGAAGAACCTGGGTGGTAGGATGAATAAGGAGAAAAACACACTGGTAGAAGAAGGTTCCGGTAGATACACAATCGACGGTGGCTTGATAAGCCTTAAGCCCCTCGCAAGCCGAGCGGAATTTGTTGAGGGCATCGTCAAGGGTGAGACGAATAGCCCCAACGACAGTGATATGTGGCTCGAATTGGGGCCCGCCGAACTCGGATCTGAGGCTGTTCATGAGAGTCCTGATTCTGGCCGTAACATCTTCTGGAGGAAGAGCCCAGACCGAATACACGTTCTTCTCCCCTTCAGAGGGTTGGATAGTGGGGGATTCTGGGTTCGCCATTGAAGCGGAGAAGAGAAGAAGACGGAATTAAAATGGAGTATTGAAGTTCGTTGATTGAACTGTTTGTGAGAGATTTGGGTAGGTTTTCATGACGACGTGTCGTGGGTTGTAGAATATCGGGCCATGTGGGCTCATTAAGGCGGTAACTTGAACCTATCCCACCGGCAATGTACGGATTTGGGAATCTAAGTTTATTACAAGAATATGCGCAGATTTGATGCTGAATGTAGAAGCTAAAATAAACCATCAGCCATAGAAGGTAGAAATTTTAAAAATTTAACACATTATTTATGATCCATAGTTCTTGAAAGTTTTCAATTCTAAGCATAATTTAGTTTCTTTTTTTCTCTCATGGCTCCCTACCTACTGTCATCAATGGCTGGGTTATGGTTTCTGTAACTGTATTTCTGGGTAGCAAATATGTAGATAAAGAAGTTGATGAAGCTCAAGATTGAAAGCAGCCAGTAGAAGAGATTCAAATGGTTCCGATTAATGTTATTTCCAATCAACCAACCTCCATTTCTCGTAATCCCTTTCGTAGCACTGTTCACAGTCTTCACAATTATGGTGCTCAAGAAGTAGCCCATGCCCATCGAACTCCAAAGGAAGCAAGTGGAGACAGATTTTAGGGCTTTTGGCGCCTCGGAGTAGAAGAATTCGAGAAGCCCTACGTATGCAAAGAGATCTGCGATTCCGAATATGAAGAATTGAAATGATAGCCAGAACGTGCTGATTGGCAATGGCTGCAAAACAGGGGTTGCATCCAACATGTTGTGGTCTCTCGCAACGCCTTTACGCTTCACTTCCACTAGTGCCGCGACGGCCATGGAGATGATGGACAGAACCAATCCAACACCTACTCGTTGCAAGGGGGTGATTCCTGTGGGGATGCCTGTGAGTTTTCGAGCAAAGGGGACAAGAATCTTGTCGTAGATTGGGGCCATGAGGATGAGAAAGAAGACTGGGATGATGGTGAGTGACGGCGGAGGGATGTTGAAGGAGGGTGTGAGTTTTGTGTCCATGGTGAGGCCCTGTTGGATGGAGAAGGTTTGGAGCTGGGCAAAGCAGAGGCTCATATTCACTGTGCAACAGAAAATTGGTATCATGCTGAGAATTACTTTGGCATTCTCTACTTGGGTCACTGTGCATAGTTTCCAAGGGCTTGAAGCTTCGGGAATTTCAACTTGCCTACAAGGTGTTTGTTGAATTGCCGCTTTGTCTAGAAACCTGTATATTCGAGCTATCATGGTATTCAATGCTTATGGGGCTGTCAAAGTAGAAAGTTTAAACAGAGTTTCATGTACAAAACCTAAAAATGTTTCTATGAGGCAGAAAGTCTTCTTCCATAACAGCCTCTTTGTCCCTTTCAATCTCATAAAGATCTGCAGGGTCTTCGGGAAGGACAAGATTTCTATTACGAGTGGCTGCAACATAGACCTAAAAACAACATTTATTTGGACAGAAGTAACAATATATTTGCCTCCAACTCTGTATTCTGCTTGTCTCACGGACATACCTGTAAAACTTGGACGATTGCATTAGACCCAGAAATAATGTGCATTCTGTACCGTGGCAATCCGGCAACAAACATGACCATGCCGAACAAGATGGCTGCAGAAGATACCCCGAAACCCCAGTCCCAACCTTTGTCGTCTTGGATCCACACAACAAGAGTTAAACTAGCAGCTATACCGAGGGACGATCCTAGCAACAGTTGATTGAAGAAGCTGGATATTTGCATCGCCTCTTTGGGGTCTTTTTCATCAAATTGATCAGCTCCATGCGGTGGTAAGGCAGCCTTAATGCCTGCATTCCCAATAGCTAATGCATATAGAGGAACATAGAGGAGGGCAGCGTTTCCTCCTCCAACTGTCTCGCAGTGGGATTGTTTATCAAATATATTGCAAAGTGGTGGCTTGAGCTTCGGGTAGTGAGCTTGTATCATGAGCAATATTAGCGCCTAAAATAGCAGTAACAGTGTTTAGCATATGGCAATCGGTAGGGGCAGCAAAGTAAAGCCAGTAAAGTTGGGCTGACCAGAAACTCAAGACAGCCAGAAATTATGACAGTTTTGACTCTGCCCAAGCATGTGTCTGCGAGAACAGCCATTGGAATAGAGAGAATGTAACATGTTCCCATGTAATTCGTCAGTTGGTTGGCCGCATCCGCTAGTTCCAAGTGCATCACAGTATTGAAATACGTAGTCAAGTTCACTGCAAGCGCGAAGTTTGCCATTTGATCGAAACCATATGTCACTGCAACAAAAAAACCCAATGAGCATACAAGGGTGCATGTGGTTATGTAGCCTGCTAAAGAGCGCGTTCGGTGATCTCTATGAGATCCCACCTCGATTGGAAAGAGGAACAAAACATTCTTTAAAATGGTGTAAAAACCTCTTTATAATAGACACGTTTTAAAACTTTGAGGGAAGTCTGAAAGGGAAAGCTCAAATAAGACAATATGTGCGGCTAGCGTTGAGCTTGGGCTGTTACACTTTGGCTCACTACATCTAAAAACCTTGATGAGCAAATGATTTCGTACCTAGTGTGAGCAAAGAAGATTTAGTTCCTCCATGTTTTTGTTTGAAAGCTGATCTTCCCTTCCAGTCCACTTTTCCTTCAACTACCTCAAGCATCTCCTCCATAGAAATGAACTAGCAGATAAACCTCGCAACTCACGAGATCAGCTGAAGGACTAACCTCGTTGATTGGAACTTAATTGGAGCTCAAATGAAGAACATCAAACATACTATTGGAACCGGCCAGGATCCTCCACTGCTGTCATGAACTGATAGCTTTCGGTTTCTTGTTGCATGGTAAGAATAGTGTGACCTCTGATAGCGTGTTCATGACTGCATGCCTCTGCTTCACTATTATATCCGTTATCGACCTTAGAGAATCCTTACAGTTGTGTTATGATAGTGAGTTATTCCATTCATAGAAATATGTGATTAACTTTTTTTCCAAAGGATATAGTCTCGTAGAAAAGTTGATTTTGTTTAAAAAGTTTGTACACACACTTTGTATCTTAATCATTTATTATATTAGTGTTAATCACCTTATTCAAATCTAGAAATTATTGGAGCTAATACAATGTGCTTATGCCGATGAATGTATGAGAGAACAAATCATGGTTTCGTCCTGTGTATCTAAAGCATCGGGTAAGAAAATATAGATAGAAACGAATATGAGCATTAGGAAAAGGGCAATAAATTCTGGTTGGCCCGAATGACAATTTAAAAGATTGGGACTAAGCAATAAGTCATCTTAGTGCTTTCTTTATACTCGTGTACATAAATACACTTGTGTTACACATTTTATTCAAAAGCATCTATTCTATTATTCATGTACATCCAATAAACTTTACACTTGTATCTAAGACATTTTATTCTCGAGCATCGACCTAAAATGGGTGGGATATTATTTAGTGGATAGGCAGGAATTTAACAAAACATTTCCCTTGAACGAAAAGGGATGGTCCTAATCCTACTTGTAATTATCATTTAGCAGCAAAGCCCTTGTCGTCTAACAAGAACAACTGTGATGAATACAACAAGAACATGGCTATAACTAAATGTTTCTGACAATCAACATGAAAAAATGGCTATAAAGCTAAAAAGATGTACAATGTAGGACGAGAGAGAAAAGAACACATGAATTCTATGCAAAAAAAAATGCTCCACTTTTGTTTATAGTTTGTAGAAGGGATACCCGACCAAGGACCGATCAGTAGTTCAGCAACGAGTACTTGATGCGCAAAACTATCTTTCCCTTGTCGACCCCGAGCTTAGCCCCTGTAACCAACCAATGACCTGGAATATCCTGAGGTCCCTTGGACATTTCTGTCAAGTCTACAACTTTTGAGAGTTTTCCAACATTGGCTGAACTGTCTTCCTTTTTATTATCTTGAGATGTTCTTGTTTTGGAAGATGATGAGGCACCATCAGATCTCATTGGAGTAGCAGGGGTGGAGGGGCTATGATCCCAGACTGATCGCCGAATCGTGCAGCCAGGTACCTTCGAGAAGAGAAGTTTTAAATATAGTACATTTTTGGCACCGAAGTCCCAAACACCGAGCTGCGCTCCAGTTACGATGTGAACACCAGACAAGTCTCCAATGTTGGCTTCTGTATACTCTATGTTAGACGAACACGACTCTCCACAATGGTATGATATTATCCACTTTGAGCATAAACTCTCATAGCTTTGCTTTGGGCTTCCCAAAAGGCCTCATACCAATGGAGTTAGTATTCCTCACTTATAAACCCATGATCATTCCCTAAATTAGCCGATGTGGGACTTTCATCATCCAACACCTCCCCTCGAACAAAGCACGCCTCCCCTTAATCGAGGCTCGACTCCTTTGGAGTCTTAGTCATTTTTGACTGCCTTCGTACCTTCGAGAAGGCTTGACTCCTTTTTTCTTTTTGGAGTCCTTTGTTCGACATTCGAGGATTTGCCAATCTATTGGCACGGCTAAGTTTAAGGCATGGCTCTGATACCATGTTAGACGAACACGACTCTCCACAATGGTATGATATTGTCCACTTTGAGCATAAGCTCTCATGGCTTTGCTTTGGGCTTCCCAAAAGGCCTCATACCAATGGAGTTAGTATTCCTCACTTATAAACCCATGATCATTCCCTAAATTAGCCGATGTGGGACTTTCATCATCCAACACTCTATAGGCGCTGTGCTTACATGTGAGAAGTTCTTCCACTTGATGGGTTCAAACCACCTGCTGTCCTGCTCCTCATGGCCATGCCATTTAAGGGCACCTATTGCAACATGCGAGTCCCAATGGGGTTGGAGAATTTTTGGCAGAGACACCAGATGTTGGAGATGGATAGCAAGTCGATTCTGCTTGCTGCCTTCAAGGTTGAGCCTAAGACCAGTGACAGGTATACGGCCAACTGTGATCTACTTCATCAGCAGAACATTAGATTTAACAAGGTCACACTTATTTTGAAGCCAGTAGACTAATGGAGATGGCGAATACCTGATCGGGGCTAATGTGAAGCTTCGGACCCATCAAGCTGAATTGATGTGATGGACAAAAGAGTTATTTTGTTTGCAGGTTAGTTTGTTCAGGAGCCCATGCTCTACCGATTTGAAAATCCAAAAAATACTGCAGATCCTCGATAGGGGGCTTGTCTTTGAGAATAACTGAGATTCAGATAATAAAATTTTGGAAAGAAAACCAACGTCTTCATATCAAGCAATACTAACTAAAGCCTACAAGATGCAATTTGTTGGATGAAAATTTTATAGTGTGCAGTAGCGTGGATGGAGAAGGAATCGATTTCAATGCAACCTTAAAGACACAGGGTCCCATGTGTAAGGCACAGCACGCTTGATATCCTCATGTAAGACTAAGTTTGAGCTTTTCAATGCAACCTTAAAGAGAGGAATGAAGTATCCAATCATAACAAGTGATTTTGTAGCTGCGGCATCAACTTGGCAAGAACCACTGAATTGAACATGGCATTAAAGCTTCCAAGTGGAATGTTTCCTGATATATGCGATGTCTGATTGAAGCATTCCACCTTCTGGAATTGCAGGCATCAATGTGATATATACAACATTTAAACTCAACTGACATTTGAATCCACAAGCATTCAGGAAGGGAAGTTCAAGAAGGGGCAAAAGGGGTCAATCATAAGCAAAAAGAAACAAGACCCAATTGAAAGAACAGCTGGGAATTCACCTTGTGGAAGCTGCAAACAGGGAGGTTTTCGGTTACCCTGGATTCTGAAGAACACTGAACATCATCAGGCACATTGGGAACCACAGGCCCATCAGAGAGAACAAGATCCCTGGTGTGGGTATCATTGAGGTGAACCAGCCTCGAGCCTGGTGTTCCCTTGCAGTAAAGAAGACGAATATCGGCGGTGACATCAAAACCACGCCCTAAAGCTTCGATGGACTTGCAAAGAGTAGTGGTCAAAGCGTCCATATGTAGAAAAGGTAAGAAGTGGGTCAGTTTCAAATAAACAAAACCTGGGTTTTGTGAGTTGTGGCCATTGAAGCAGCAAAATTGAGAACATTGGAAGCAACAGCAACCGGAGAAGAGACGGGATAGCTTCATTTTTATTTCCCCGACCATTCTAATTTTTGTTTTTAACCCTTCAAATTTCTTAATCATAAATGCATTTTTAAAAATTCAAATTCAAATAATTATCAACTACTGTCTTAATTATCTTTTATTAATGCTCAAATTCTAAAAGCTTTTATATAATGGTGAAGTATGACTTAATGACTTGTTAAAGATAATTATAAATAATTGATAAATTGATTTTGATGAATATTTTAATCACGTCATTAACTATAATTATATTAAAAAGAAAGGAAATTTTCTATTATAAATTAATTGAAATAATTTCAGCATGTTTGATTATTAACCAATAATTTTTAAAAATTAATTATAACGTACAACTAATTTCCTTTATTTAATATTTTATTCAACCACTTTATATTTATTATTTTTAAAATATTTATAAACTTTTAAAAATTGAAATAATATAAAAATTACTTTATTTCAAAATTTCAAAATACTGAACTTTTTAATAATATTTTTAAAATATTTTTTTAACTTTCAAAATCTCTTTTAATTTTTTTTTTAATTTAAAAAATACTATATTTAAATAATGCAATAAAATTTTAAAAGTAACGTTGACATATTTTATTCTTATAAAAAAAAAATAAAAAAATTTACTGGCACGTCAATATATGAACGGAAACCATCAAACGACACCTCATAAATGATCTTCAAATTTTTTGAAAATTGAGGAGTATTTTTTTAAAACAAAATACTAATGATTTTTTTTTTTTTTATTTAGTTTAAAATATTATTGAAAACTTTTGAAATTTTATAATTATTTTTATTAATTTAAGCTAATTAATTACCAAACATAATATTATTTACAGCGATGCATTATTATTTTAATTAATCGTAACAGAGTCTTACTACTCTTATTACGTATACATATTTAAATTACTTAATTAGGTGACATAAACTAATATAATTGATCATAAACGTATAGAACATGAGATTGTAAGAAATCCCCTGCCCTGGTTTTAGATTGCGCAGTTGGGTGCTCCATCTGGCTAATGGAATCCCACCACAACAAACTTAACGAACACCATTTCCCACCGGAGCATTGTTCGCTCACCGATCAACCTCAACTGTCCGCTTCACCGGTGCCCGAACTCTCCTCTGAGAATGCCCCCTCCGCCGTCAATTCATTACGCCGTCGGACCTCTGCTCGCCGCAGTATCACAGGCGAGATTCCCAGTTCAGATTCCTCTATCAGTTCCCTAACGAGTTCAATCGATGGAAAAAACCCAGAACTCGAGGGATCCGAGTCTTTATCCCTTCAAGTAAGCTCGTCGGCAGGTTCGTGTAGCGCAAACGAAGAGAATACAGAGGTGTCGACCATGACTACCGCGGAGATTAACTCGGACGGCGAATTGGGCGTATCGTATGTCATAAGAAAGTTGTTTGGGGTTTGGGAAGTTGTAATTGCCGTGGTCGGTCCAGCGGTATCTGCACGAGTTAAGGATTGCAAGTATCTTTGGAAGGTCGGACACCGCTGTGCGTGGGGTTTGATATGGTCGGCCTCTGTTTATATCATTTCATGTGCCCTCTTGGTTTCGGCGCTTATATTTAGTGCGTTTCTTATGAGGTTCATAGTTCAGGAGCCTGTAAAGATCAAAGAAGTAATAAACTTCGACTACACCAAACACAGCCCCGAGGCTCTGGTGCCAATCTTGCCTGATTCAAATCATCCTTCACAGGCTACGGGGAAGACCCAGTTGCGGGCTGTTCCCCTGCATCATCAATTTCATGTCATTGTCTCACTAACAATGCCAGAGTCTGAATACAATCGAAATCTTGGGGTTTTCCAGGTAAGACTTGACTCTCTTTCTGCTAGCGGTGACATTCTTGCAACCTCGAGGCATCCTTGCATGTTACAGTTTAAAAGTGAACCCCTTCGCCTTTTGCTGACTATCCTGAAGCTTGCGCCCCTTGTTATTGGGTATGTATCAGAGTCACAGACTCTGAACCTTGAGCTTAAAGGTTTCACCCAAGGAGATATACCGACTGCCTGTCTAAGGGTTACAATTGAACAGCGAGCAGAGTTCAATGATCGTGGTGCTGGCATACCCGAAATATATGATGCATCCATAATCATTGTATTCGAGCTTCCCCCGTTTAAAAGGATTGTATGGTGGTGGAGGAAGATTATCTATGTATGGGTTAGCATGGTATCGTTTATGATGCTGTTGCTTTTTACGCTGCTCTGTTTTAGTCCGATAAGCCTTCCTAGAATATGGGATGGATCTGCTGATGCAAGCTCCACCAGCAACGACATCTCGGTACAAGATTAGATTAGAACAGCCCCCTTATCCAAATGTTTGGTTGCTGATGCATAAACCAACAGATATGTTAGTTTTGACTCGTTACATATTGTCATCCACTTCACAGCCTTAAAATACATATGTTAGGAAGAAGTTTCTATACTCATTCCCTCATGACATCTCACAATCTACCTCCTTTGAGGGTCAACGTTCTCATTATCATACCATCCGATCTCTAACTCTGATATCATTTTGTAATGGTCCAAGCTCACTACTAACCGATATTGTCCGCTTTGATTCGTTACTTATGATCGTCTACAAGCTTTCTCTCTCCATAGTAAAAAGATGGAGGGAGTAAGTTATGCAGTGAGGACAGGGTTCATGTGAACATTCATGCAGCCATAAAAGTTTGGTCTTATTAAAATGTGGGATTCTTAGTTTTCCTCGAGAGTCCCGACATCAATCTACTAAAGCTAAAACTAAAACACCCAAATTTCTCTCCTTTCGCTCTCTATCTGCATAATCTTTGAAATACAAGAAAGAAAGCAAGAAAAATGGCGTTTTGTTGTTATATATAAGGCAAAAGCTCCTCAAGCCGAACCATTGCGCCCCTGTCCTTTGAGGAAAGACGCACTTTTGGTGATCTCTCGTAGAGGCTTGTCTGTAAACCTGATGGTATTGTAGACCAGAGCGCCCGCAATTGCCCCAAACGTGGGAGCTACCATGTATATCCATAACCCTTTGAACTGCCTTGATACTATAGCAGGCCCCAAGCTTCTTGCTGGATTCATGGACGCTCCTGTTATTGGCCTGAAAGACAGCATCTGAAATCAGATATGAAAGCCTAAGGATATGGGTTTGAAAATGATATTAAGATTCAATACCCTGAAAACATCACGTTGAGGAGCACCGTGGCGCCAACAGCAAGTCCAGCAAGTTCACCAATCTGTGGAAGGATCAGTAAACAAAATTATAGTGCAGTTTAGAGTTGGGAATTGGAGTAAATCATAAAGAGAAGATGAACTAACGGCTCTATTGTCAGTGGCAACACCAGACACCACGAACATGAGGTAAAATGTGATTATGAATTCAATCACAAAGGTCTGCAAATATGAGTCACTTGGGAGAGTCCCTGAAAAATGGTCCTGTTCTCCGTTGAATATTAGCCTCAGTGTTCCACTTGCCAATGTTGATCCAAGAACTTGAGCTATCACATAAGCTGGCAGCTGCAACAAAATCCAATTGTTTTGGAATCAGCTTTGGAGAACAGGGGATTTGTAACAAGCACAAGAATTTCTCACCAAAAATGGAAAAGGCTTGGGCTTTTCTTGTTTTAGAAGTTAATTGTATCGTGGGGTTCAAGAATTTTACCAAATCATGATCAAGCTTACCTGTTTCCATGGAAATCGCTTGGTAGTGGCAAAGGCTATGGTGACAGCAGGGTTAAAATGAGCACCGGAGATATGCCCAACAGAATAAACCATCACCATTACCGCCAAGCCCCAAACAATTGCAATCCCTGGGAAAGTGATGACTTTGTCTTTGCTCAAATTCACAACCACCGACGCCCCGCCGGCAAATATCAAGAAATACGTCCCCACAATCTCTGCAATCAACTATTTCCACACCAGAAACAAAAAAAAAAAAAATCTCAGCCATTGAATCACAAATCAAAGGAGTGAGATGGGTTTTGGCGTAATCTGAGAGAGAAGAAAGGGAAAGACCTTTTGAATGAAAGGAACAGAGATCCAGTCGGCTTCTTGTCTGCTGGTGACGGCAGTGGATTCATCCTTGATGTTGAAAGAAACAGCGTGGTGTCCATTGGTTGATCCAGAAACCTCAGCCATGGATATGATCGAATAGAGGAAGAAGCAAGCAGAGAAGAGGGGAAGAACAGAGGTAAGACAGCGCCAGATTGTGCAAAGACTTACAGAATTGTGGCAAAACCCAGATGAACATGTACAATTTATAGAACCCAAAAAGGCTGAGACCAGAAGAGAGAGGAATTGATATCCATCATTGATCGCTGCCTCAACTACCCGCCGGACATACAGACAAATGTGAATGCATCTTTTTTCTGGGATCAAACTTGGGGTCACTTCCAAGTTTCTACTCAATTTTTACCTCATTGGATTCACTATCTTAGTCACTTAGTCGTGCTAGATCTGACAAGATTATGCAAAAATTCCATTTTTAGACCCAATAAATCATCCTTAATTTAGTTACTCTAATGAATGGACAGATCATATTTGTCTTTTATTACATACCATACTGTTTAATGTTTTAAATTTTTGCATAAAATCATAATTGAAATGAATAGATATAGAAAGATATAGTATAATAGGAATGAAACTAATAGACTAAAACTGATAATATTATTCAATGAAGTATGATTTTATTAATAGCACGTGGGAGGTTATATGGTTTTTTATTTTATTATTATCTTCATATTTAATTAATTAATTATATATTTTTTAATATTTGTAAATGCATCAAAGGGTATATTCAATATGACTTCACTGTTTGTCATTCATTACGTGGTTTTATTTATTATATGGATAATTTTATTTTTTCATTAATTTTTTTATTGCGCACATTTGAAAATTGAAGTCCCAATATCATTTGTTGGGTTATATAATAATAATTCTCACATAGTGATTGTAATTATTAGACTTTGGACTTTTGATTCATGAAGGGATAATACCTAATCAATGGTTTATTATACAGTTTTTATTTTCAAAATTTGATTTTTATAAAGTAATTTAATAAATATTGAAAGTGATTTTCAACATTTATTAAATTGGATCTAAATTACCTTTATAAAAAAAATGAAAAATAATAAAAACTTACCATTTTCAATGCGCATGCAAAATCCAACCTCCCACTCTCTTGACCATGATGGAGAATTTGGAATGCTTAATATTTGTTTTGAATTATTAATTAATTTTTAAAAAAAATATTTGATTAAGAGAGTTTATATAATTGATGGGGGGAAATTAATTAAATACTCAAATTTAAGAAATCTTGAAATTCTTTTTAAAATTTAAAATTACAAGAGAATATCTAATTCTTGGAAAAATAATAATATATTTTTTTGAAAATATAAGCAAGGGAAAATGTATAATTATAGGATAAGTGTTGGATGATGAAAGTCTCACATCGGCTAATTTAGGGAATGATCATGGGTTTATAAGTGAGGAATACTAACTCCATTTGTATGAGGCCTTTTGGGAAGCCCAAAGCAAAGCCATGAGAGCTTATGCTCAAAGTGGACAATATCATACCATTGTGGAGAGTCGTGTTCGTCTAACATGGTATCAGAGTCATGCCCTAAACTTAGCCATGCCAATAGATTGACAAATCCTTAAATGTCGAACAAAGGACTCCAAAAGGAGTCAAGCCTCCTCGAAGGTACGAAGGCAGTCAAAAATGACTAAGACTCCAAAGGAGTCAAGCCTCGATTAAGGGGAGGCGTGCTTTGTTCGAGGNAGGTGTTGGATGATGAAAGTCCCACATCGGTTAATTTAGGGAATGGTCATGGGTTTATAATCTAAGAATACACTCTCCATTGGTATGAGGCCTTTTGGGAAGCCCAAAGCAAAGCCATGAGAGCTTATGCTCAAAGTGGACAATATCATACCATTGTGGAGAGTCGTGTTCGTCTAACATGGTATCAGAGTCATGCCCTAAACTTAGCCATGCCAATAGATTGACAAATCCTTAAATGTCGAACAAAGGACTCCAAAAGGAGTCAAGCCTCCTCGAAGGTACGAAGGCAGTCAAAAATGACTAAGACTCCAAAGGAGTCGAGCCTCGATTAAGGGGAGGCGTGCTTTGTTCGAGGGGAGGTGTTGGATGATGAAAGTCTCACATCGGCTAATTTAGGGAATGATCATGGGTTTATAAGTGAGGAATACTAACTCCATTGGTATGAGGCCTTTTGGGAAGCGCAAAGCAAAGCCATGAGAGCTTATGCTCAAAGTGGACAATATCATACCATTGTGGAGAGTCGTGTTCGTCTAACATGATATCAGAGTCATGCCCTAAACTTAGCCAAACTTAGCCATGCCAATAGATTGGCAAATCCTTAAATGTCGAACAAAGGACTCCAAAAGGAGTCAAGCCTCCTCGAAGGTACGAAGGCAGTAAAAAATGACTAAGACTCCAAAGGAGTCGAGCCTCGATTAAGGGGAGGCGTGCTTTGTTCGAGGGGAGGTGTTGGATGATGAAAGTCTCACATCGGCTAATTTAGAGAATGATCATGGGTTTATAAGTGAGGAATACTAACTCCATTGCATGAGAGCTTATGGTCAAAGTGGACAATATCATATCATTGTGGAGAGTCGTGTTCGTCTAACAATAAGTACATTTTATTTGGGGGATTAATTCCTAATTTGCATGTTATAAATGATTAAACTTTGTGAACATATGTGTGATTGCTTTAGATGCGAGAAATTTACCATTTCTTTTATTGAATATGATACCGTTCACATGGAAGTTTCTCAATCTTTTATCGTGTGAAAAGGGAGATTTTGTGGAAAAAAGAAGAATAAAAAAGAAAAAGCCAAATTTTGACTTATTGTATTTAATTAATTTGGTAGTGGAAGACTCGGTCTGATGGGGTTCCCATGATTCATGGAGATGGATGAAATGCAATGTGCAACATCTTTGGGTCGTGCTACAACTTTCTAATCTCCATCACATTAGTTCAATTGCTATCATTTTTTCCTATTCAACCATGTTTCAATGGTAGGCTTACACACCTTAAAGTCCACTTTAAGCACTTTTCGATGGTTTTTGTTACTTTATAGGTTCGAGAAGGGGTGGGAGTCTTAAGCCCTTCAAGAGGTGGGTTACACCGTTTTAAGTTCAATTTAAGAAGCACTGTATTCGTGATTTGAGAGTCAAATGGTCACTTGGGCACATTTTAAGATAGTTTGAAGGTTTCAAGCATTTATTTTAAATTAAAGTTGGGATTAATGGAATCTCTGAATGCACACCTAAGCTACTGAGATTATCCATAGTTTTAGCCCATTGTAGTTTTTGACATAGTTTGAATAATATAGTTGAATGGTGTGTGTTTCAGCGAGAACAAGCAACAGATGCCGACTGAAGCTCAGGTCGGTGTACAACATCGCTAGCGTATGAGGACTTCAACTGAAGCTCTGGTAAAAGCTCTCCTTAAGAACCCCAGTGCCATCAAATCCAGATCACAGGCTCAACAACTCCATGCCCAGGTGCTCAAATTTCAAGCTTCATCTCTTTCCAACCTTTCCCTTGTTCTATCCCTCTACTCCCACATTAATCTTCTCGATGATTCACTCCGTCTTTTCAACACCCTTCACTTCCCTCCGCCTCTCGCCTGGAAGTCTATCATCCGTTGCTACACTTCTCATGGTCTTCCTCATCAGTCCTTGGCTTCTTTTATTGGAATGCTGGCCTCTGGGCTATACCCAGATCACAATGTCTTCCCTTCTGTTCTAAAATCTTGTGCATTGCTTATGGATTTGCGTTTGGGGGAGTCCGTTCATGGGTACATCTTAAGAGTAGGCTTGGATTTTGATTTGTATACTGGTAATGCGTTGATGAATATGTATTCGAAACTGCGATTTCTGCAGGAGTCTGGGAGGCAGAGACTTGGTACGGGCGAGGTGTTCGACGAAATGACTGAAAGGACACTAACTGGTAGAACTTCCTCTGCGTTAGTTGGTAGTGTGGGGAGTGACACTGAAGCATTTCATTATGATGTTTCTTGTGGAAGAAGGGAGTTTGAAACACACATTGTTGAAACAGACTGCAAACACAGCAAGAAATTTAGGGACTTGGAAGCCTGGAATCTTGGGCCACAAATCAAGGATATTTCTCATTCAAAAGGACGCCAAAGTGAGGATACCGTGAGAAAAATCTTTGAGATGATGCCTGAAAGGGATCTTGTCTCATGGAACACCATAATTGCTGGAAATGCCAGGAATGGTCTGTATGAAGAAACTTTAACGATGGTTAGAGGGATGGGTGATGCTAATTTGAAGCCTGATTCCTTCACTCTTTCTAGTGTGCTTCCACTTGTTGCAGAATATGCAGATATCAGTAGAGGAAAAGAGATTCATGGATGGGCTGTAAGACAGGGTTTTGATGCAGATGGATATGTTGCAAGCAGCTTAATTGATATGTATGCGAAGTGCACACGAGTATCGGATTCGTGTCGGGTATTTAGTATCTTGACTAAGCGTGATGGGATTTCATGGAACTCTATCATTGCAGGGTGTGTTCAGAATGGTCTATTTGATGAAGGTCTGAGATTTTTCCACCAAATGTTGATGGCTAAAATCAAGCCCAAGAGTTATTCCTTCTCAAGCATTATGCCAGCTTGCGCACACTTGACAACATTGCATCTGGGTAAGCAGCTCCATGGATACATCATAAGGAATGGCTTCGATGACAACATATTCATTGCAAGTTCGCTAATCGACATGTATGCAAAATGCGGTAACATTAGAACGGCCAGGCAGATTTATGACAGGATGAGATTACGAGACATGGTATCATGGACTGCCATGATTATGGGATATGCTTTTCACGGGCATGCTCTTGATGCTATTGACTTATTTGAACAAATGGAAACAGAAGGAATAAAGCCAAACTATGTGGCCTTCATGTCCGTATTAACTGCTTGTAGCCATGCTGGATTAGTTGATGAAGCTTGGAAGTACTTCAATAGCATGACACAAGATTTCGGGATTGTTCCAGGAGTGGAACACTACGCTGCTGTTTCAGACCTTCTTGGACGAGCTGGAAGGCTGGAGGAAGCTTATGACTTTATCTGTGGGATGCATATGGGGCCATCTGGGAGTATATGGTCGACATTGTTGTCTGCTTGTCGAGTCCACAAAAATGTCGACATGGCCGAAAAGGTTGCTAATAGAATTTTTGAAGTCGATCCAGAGAACACGGGAGCTTATGTATTACTAGCAAACATATATTCTGGTGCAAGGAGATGGAAAGAGGCCGCAAAATGGAGAGCCTCATTGAGGCGCACAGGCATTAGAAAGACACCAGCCTGCAGCTGGATTGAAGTTAAAAACAAAGTACATGCTTTCATGGCTGGAGATGAATCCCATCCATGTTATGAGGAAGTAAGAGAAGCCATGGAAGTCCTAATGGAGCTGATGAAAAGGGAGGGTTATGAGGCAGATACAAGTGAGGTTCATCATGATGTGGAAGAGGAGCAAAAGAAATACTTGCTTTGCCGCCATAGTGAGAGGCTTGCCATTGTGTTCGGTATCATCAACACGCCCGCCGGGACGACAATTCGTGTCACGAAGAACCTCCGCGTGTGTACCGACTGTCACACAGCAACAAAGTTCATTTCAAAGATAGTTGGGAGGGAGATTGTTGTGAGGGATAACAGTCGATTTCACCATTTCAAGAACGGAATGTGTTCCTGTGGAGATTACTGGTAACAGAGGTGGGAGATTTCCTTTATTGTTAGTCTAAAATTTATTTTTATTTAACTTGGAAAATAATAATAATTTTTATTAAAAAAGATGCAATATTATATATTTTCAAAATACAGATTATATATATATAATAGTTAAACAATAAACTACTAGTTTTAGATATTATTAAAAATATATATAGACTGAATTTAAATACTTGAATTATTTTAACCAATTTAATATCAGAAACCGAACTTTTAATTAGAGTCCAAATATTTTATGAAGTGGGTGTTCTTTTGGGCTTCGATGTTTTATAAAAACCTAAATTGCTGCAGCCGTTCGAGAGGGAAATTCATATTCTCTGCCTGGTTGCTTCTATTGCAATTCGCGAGCGAACATGCAGGTACCAACTACACTTGTAACCTCGTATTTATTGTCTATCATACTTCTTTATTCCGAATTTTACGTTGTGTTTCGATTTAGTTGGGCAGTAATTAGAGAGCCGGGCGACTGAGTCCAATTTGATTCTTTCGTTTCTATTTCCGCTGATTCAAGCCTAAGGAGATGATTTTATAATTTCACTTCCTGATCCTGTTCGTATTACTCAACCTTTTCGTTTTGTTCATCGGAGGCCTTCTCTGTTGCGATATTCCTGGATCCTTAATTTATGAGAGATAAGGAATTTTCTACTACTTTCTCACTGGGAATCACTCTCTCGAAGGAAAAAAGATCTACTTTTTTATTTGGGGGTTGCTTGTTTCTAGTTGCTATGCAGTTCGAGTTATATCTGTTAAGCACTGTCATAAGCCCTATTCTATTGTGGGTTGTTAGTTTATATTTGGGTGACCTATTCTCAAGGTCTTGCTAGTCTTGTTAGCTTATATTTAGATGACCTATTCTAGGCTTGTTAGTTTATATTTAGGTTTAGCAGAAGGCTATATAATGCCATTCTTTCTGCTATTGAAATCATTTAAGTTTTCTGTGCAAATTGTATGCCTTGAGTAAATTTAGTGTTGTGAGTACATTTGTTCCGCTTTCGGCGCACAACAAGTGGTATCAGAGCCTGGTTGTGGTATTTTGGGGTATTGTGAAAGCTTGGGCATCATCGACCATTAGACGTGCTCACAATCGTGGTTATTCTCTTGAAAATCAATTTTCAAGAATAGTGTTTTTGAGTTTCATCCAGATTAATTATTGCAAATGGCAGAACCATCACGACGTGGATCGAGAGTGTGGAGTTCCAATCTTGAAGTAGAGAAATTTGATGGAACCAATAATTTTGGTGTTTGGCGAGGCGAAGTTAGCGATTTGTTGGTCATGCAAGACCTCGATGTCTCTCTCCAAGAGGAAATGCCTGAAGACATGACAGAAGCAGAATGGACGAAATTAAATCGGCAAGCCTGTGGAATTATTCGATCCTGTCTTGGCAAGGATCAGAAATATCCATTTATGAAGGTTACCATGGCGAAAGAATTATGGGACAAGCTTGAAGCGAAATATATGAAGAAGAGTGTGGAAAATAAACTCTATTTGAAGAAGAAACTCTTCCGTTTTGATTACAAGGAAGGCATCTCAATGGCTGAGCATTTGGATGATTTTAACAAAATCATCACTGATTTGCTCAATCTTGATGTTAAGATTGATGACGAGGACAAGGCGTTGTTGTTATTAAACTCCTTGCCGGAATCCTACGAGTTTTTAGTAACGACCCTACTACATGGAATTACTGATATTGATTTTGAAGATGTTTCAAATGCCTTAATAAACAATGAGATGCGAAAGAAGGAAAAGGAGACGTATCAAAGCTCTAGCTCAAATGTTCTCACTGCTCATGGAAGGACTTCCAATTGGAAAAAGAACGAATGTGGAGAGTCTCGATTAAAGTCGAGAGGTAGATCTGATAATTGGAGAAAACTTGATAAAAATGAGTGTGCATATTGTCGACAGAAAGGCCATTGGAAAAAGGATTGTCCGATCTTAAAAGAGAAGGGGTCGAAGTCCAATGTGGTTAGAGATGACGACATTGATACGGATGATGCCTTGACAATCTCCCAATCAGTCAGCCAAACCAGTGAATGGATTCTTGATTCTGGGTGCTCCTATCATATGTGTCCCAACAAAGAGATGTTTTTGGACTTCAAGGAGTTCAATGGTGGAGTTGTCTATATGGGAAATGATAGTACTTGTAAGATAATGGGAATCGGCTCAGTACAAATCAAGATGTTTGATGGGGTTATACGAAAACTCAAAGATGTGAGGTATGTCCCTGACTTGAAGAAAAATTTGATTTCACTTGGCGTTTTGGATGCGAGTGGTTATCGCATCATTTTGGAAGGAGGGAATTTGAAAGTAGCTCGTGGAGCTTTGGTGGCAATTACAGGAACTAGAAGAGGTAGCATATACTACCTCAACGGAACCACAATAATTGGGCATGCTGCTGTGGCAAGTTCGAAAGAACAAGACATATCGAAATTATGGCACATGCGACTCGGGCATGCTGGTGAGAAGGCGCTTCAGACACTGGTGAACCAAGGAGTCCTTAAGGGTGCCACAACTGGAAGAATTGATTTCTGTGAACATTGTATATTTGGCAAACAAAAAAATGTGAAGTTTGGTACAGCTATACACCAAACAAAGGGCATTTTGGATTATGTTCACACTGATGTATGGGGTCCCACAAAGAATGTCTCATTGGGAGGAAAGAGGTGGTTCGTCACCTTTATTGATGACTACTCGAAGAGAGTTTGGATGTATCCCATGAGGCACAAAAACGAGGTTCTCCAAATCTTCCTAGAGTGGAAGAAAATGGTAGAGAATCAGACGGACAAGAAAATCAAAAGGCTGAGATCAGACAACGGGGGAGAATATACTTATGATCCATTCCTTAAAGTATGCCGAGATGAAGGGATCGTTCGACACTTCACTGTTCCTGGTAAGCCACAACAAAATGGAGTTGCTGAGAGAATGAACCAGACATTAATAGAGAAGGTTCGATGCATATTGTCTCAAGCAGGATTGAGTAAGGCATTTTGGGCTGAGGCTCTCAGTTATGCAGTTCACTTGGTGAATCGTTTACCTGTTTCTGGAAACGGTGGGAGAACTCCGCTTGAGGTATGGTCAGGTAGTCCTGTTAGTGATTATGATAAATTACATGTGTTTGGGTGTCCTGCTTATTATCATGTGACAGACTCAAAGCTGGATCCTAGAGCAAAAAAAGCCAAGTTTATGGGCTTTAGCAAAGGTGTGAAGGGCTATAGGTTATGGTGTCCAGAAACAAGTAAGATTGTTAATAGTCGAGATGTGACATTCGATGAGTCTGGAATGTTTTTGCAGAAAATTGAAAATAATGACGAGGCATTGAAGCAGGTGGAGAAGGTGGTGTTCTCTCCTGATGTGGTTGCTCCTACTGAAGAACCTATTGACCAGGTAAATAATAACTTTGATGTCTTAGAACAGAAAGAGCAAAGACTTGAGGAGCAAAGCCTTGTAAATGAAAGAGTGGAGGAACCTGAGTCAATCGCCAAGAATAGACCACGAAGGGTAATTCGAAAACCTGCAAGGTTTGATGATACGATAGCATATGCTTTCTCTTTGATTGATGGAGTTCCTAACAGTTACAAAGATGCTATTCAGAGCCCGGATAGCTTACACTGGCAAGAGGCTGTGAATCAGGAGATAGCATCATTGGAGATAAATCAAACTTGGGATTTGGTACAACTTCCAAAAGGTAAGAAGGAAATTGGTTGTAAATGGGTTTTTGCAAAAAAGGAAGACCCTTTTGGTATACGTTATAAGGCTCGACTTGTGGCTAAAGGCTACGCACAAAAGGAAGGTATTGATTACAATGAAATTTTCTCACCTGTGGTAAAACATTCTTCGATTCGAATTTTGTTGGCTTTGGTTGCTCAATTTAATCTTGAGCTTGCACAACTCGATGTAAAAACTGCTTTTTTGCATGGAGATTTGGAAGAAGAAATATATATGACGCAACCAGTTGGTTTCCGAGTAGTTGGACAGCAACATTTAGTATGCAGATTGAAGAAATCTTTGTATGGGCTGAAGCAATCCCCTCGCCAATGGTATAAAAGGTTTGATCATTTCATGGTAGAGCATATGTATACTNATAGTCAATTTGACCATTGTGTGTATTATCGATGTCTCGATGATGGATCGTTTATCTACTTGCTCTTATATGTTGATGATATGTTAATTGCTTCAAAGAGACAGGTGGAGATTGATAAACTCAAAGATGAGCTTTCTAAAACATTTGAAATGAAAGACTTAGGCAATGCGAAGAAAATACTTGGAATGGAGATAGAGCGAGATCGAAAAAAAGGTACAGTCTGGTTGACTCAGTCTCAATATCTACGCAAGGTATTGTCAAGATTTAGTTTGAATAATTCAACCAAACCTGTTAGTACTCCACTTGCTCCTCATTTCAAGCTTAGTGCTTCCATGTGTCCAAGTTCTGACGATGACAAAAGATATATGGAGAACATTCCTTATACAAATGCTGTTGGTGCGTTGATGTATGCTATGGTGTGTACTCGACCTGATCTTTCACACGCAGTAAGCATGGTGAGTCGTTATATGCATAATCCTGGTAAAGAGCATTGGCAGGCTGTAAAATGGATTCTTAGGTACATTCTTGGCACTATTGATGTTGGTATTAAGTTTCAAAAACAAGAAATGTTTAATCTTGACAATCGTGTAGCTGGTTTTGTGGATTCTGATTATGCTGGTGATTTGGATAAGCGACGATCCACCACGGGTTATTTATTTACTATGGCTGGTGGACCTGTTTGTTGGCGCTCAACATTGCAGTCTACTGTTGCATTGTCTACCACTGAAGCAGAGTATATGGCGGTAACGGAAGCTTTTAAAGAAGCTATTTGGATGCATGGTTTGATCAATGACTTGGGTATTTTGCAGGGACATATAGATGTATTTTGTGATAGCCAGAGCGCTATTTGCTTGTCAAAAAATCAAGTCCATCATGCTCGTACAAAACACATTGATGTCCGTTTTCACTTTATTCGAGAAATCATTAGCAAAGGGGATATTCGTTTACTAAAAATTGGAACTGCTGATAACCCTGCTGATATGTTGACAAAGGTGATCGCTCGTGAAAAGTTCTGCCATTGTTTGGATCTCATCAACGTCGGAAGGAAGGAGTAGTGTGTTGATGTGGGAGCAACCAAATTCACTATCAACTTGGAAATCTTATGACAAGGTGGAGATTGTTAAGCACTGTCATAAGCCCTATTCTATTGTGGGTTGTTAGTTTATATTTGGGTGACCTATTCTCAAGGTCTTGCTAGTCTTGTTAGCTTATATTTAGATGACCTATTCTAGGCTTGTTAGTTTATATTTAGGTTTAGCAGAAGGCTATATAATGCCATTCTTTCTGCTGTTGAAATCATTTAAGTTTTCTGTGCAAATTGTATGCCTTGAGTAAATTTAGTGTTGTGAGTACATTTGTTCCGCTTTCGGCGCACAACAATATCATTCTGCTGCAGCCTGCAAATGAGCTCTGCACGAAGCGAGTGACGATATTATGTTGAGTCTTGAATTACTATTGTGTTGGTTAGTGTAATATGTGGATGTCAAACCTCTTAATCAGTAATCCATCTTTGAAATTTGAGATTGATTGTGGATTCCTGTCACTGCTCGCTGGAGGTTGGTTTAGATGGACACGAGGCGCTAATGTTGGTTTTTGATTGGGATGCAGGCCAGTGATAGATTTAACATAAATTCCCAGCTTGAGCACCTTCAAGCGAAATATGTGGGAACTGGGCATGCGGACTTAAATAGATTGTTAGTTTTGTATTCCTTCTTGTGTGTTGATCTTATTATATTGCTTTGCATATTAGTTTTGATGTCTAAATTCAGATGTTGGTGTGTACAGTGAGTGGGCAGTAAACATTCAGCGAGATAGCTATGCATCTTATGTTGGACATTACCCCATTCTAGCATACTTCGCTATAGCCGAAAATGAATCTATTGGGAGGGAACGCTACAACTTCATGCAGGTCAATAACTTCTTCTTTCTTTATGATTATTACCCCTTTAACTTGCCTTCCTCCCATGAACATGAGAGTTTCAAGTCCTATTATATGATTTACGAGTAATTGCTCCATCCATGTATATGAATTGTTTGTTATCTTCACTTGAACCCCTCTGCGTGCTGTAATCTAAACTGGGTTTGTGCTGCTTTTGTGTTTCGAAATGTGGGGTTAAACCCATTATGTTTGTAACTAGCATTTCATTCTTAATGAGGGATAGCAAAACTTCATCATATATCCTCCTGGATATCATTTTGGACATAGTTAGATACCTAATGGGTTGTTTTTCTTCTTTTTCTTTTCCTCTTTGCAGAAAATGTTGTTACCCTGCGGCCTTCCTCCAGAAAGAGAAGATGATTGAGATTGTAATTATATAAGTAATTGAAGTTGTTAAGATTGCAAAAACGGTCAGTCATTGTAGGGTTGATGAATTTCTTGTTTATGAACCAACGATGGTAAGATTTTCTTGGATATTGAAATTTTCTGTATGATTTCAATATATGAGTCTTCTAATAGACTTCTAGATTTTAAAATGTGTCGGGAACGGACGAAGGCCAAACTCGAAAGCTCAGGTAAAGACGCTAGTGCTTTCGTTTTCTTGCCAACGTTGATCCTATTTGGCTTCTAGTACTTTCTATTCCTCTTTTCTATTCCTCTTAAATAAGGTAATAGCTGACTTCAGATTTTAAAATGTTCCCAATGGATTTTTTTAATTTTTTAAAAAATATTTAATAGTTTCTTAAGCTTTTCTCTGTGTTTGATATTTTGGTCTATTCCACAATTTTTATATTTTACCTACCTATTAGACAAAAAAAAAAAAAAAAAAAAAAAAAAAAAAAAAAAAAAAAAAAAAA